CTAATCCAGGGGTGCCCAAACTCGGTCCTGGAGGGCCGATGTCCTGCAGAGTTTAGCTCCAACTTGCCTCAACACACCTGGTTTATAGTATATAGTATGCCTAGTAAGAGCTTGATTAGCTGGTTCAGGTGTGTCTAATTGGGGTTGGATCTGCAGGACACAGGACATCGGCCCTCCAGGACCGAGTTTGGGCACCCCTGCTCTAATCATACCCTATGCCTCACAGGTTTTGCTTACCTTAGCTCCTTTTATAGATGGCATGACATCATCTGGTTTTCCTTTGTCCAAAACTTTTCTATGTTGCTGAGAGAAAAAAAGTATCCACAAGTATATTTATAAAATTGAATTACATAGATACATTTATACATCATAGCTTGCTAGAGTTCACATTATGCAAATAGGTTTTCCACCCACCTTTTGCCTGCACAATGGCTCCTTTTTGTTCTCTTCAGCTTTAACCTCTTGCTGAATAACTTCTTTTGGTGTATTTACAGCTAATACATCATTTATTGTAGATCCAACCACCATGATCTTTGCACCGTTTGTAACTTTGATTTCTCGAAGCGTCTTGTCCTCTGGTAGCAGTCCTTTGTACATCACTTTCTGCATAGCAGGTGGAAGACCTGATAACCATTCAAAACACAAACAAAAAAAAAAGCATTTGTCTTCAGTAACTTCAATCCTGATATAATATGGTAGTTCCATATTATATAACATTATAAAGTCTCACTATGAAGCATTTTACTGTTTTAATAGTGATATGAGACAGACAAGGGTAGTTTTGTGCTAAAAAATTACAACATGCAGTACAAAAAGAACAGTTAGAGATTCAGGTTTGGACACACCAACTCATTTTTTATTATTTCTATTTTACACATTTTAAAATGATAGTAGCCTAATTGCTGTAGGAGGTACATTCTGGGATGATTTTTAAAATCTTTTGAAGGAGTTCACATATATGCTGGACACATGTTGGCTGCTTTTCTTCATTAGAAAATTCAAACTGACACAAATTATAATTGTTATTATATCTATATCTATACTAATGTGTATAATATCTATATACACACACACACACACACACACACACACACACACACATACATATATA